GCTCTTCCGATCTCCCCAAAACCCCAAAACCCCTAAAAGCAAGATTCATAAATTAACAGAGGAATAGTGTAATAAATAAACTTCTGGAAAATTGTTTAATAATTCAGTGTTCCATTCCTTATAGATTGAAATATTTATACAACCTTACTTCAAATTTCATAAAATATCTTTGATAATACGACTATCAAAAGTATATCATTCTCTCGTTTTTCAAGAATATCATATGATTGTTTTCTTCAGGGAAAGATTTCCCTATGTTCTTAGAAGGAGACAATTTATATATAGAGCTAGGTGGTCTTCGTTGATTCAGCATTGATACCTTATATTAATGCTCGCTTAGTTTCTTCTGTCTCATGCTGTGCTCTATATCTTTCTTTCTATTGCAAATTACATGTTCTAGGAATAGCTTATTTCGTTAGATGATACTAGACTGCTCAATATTAGCTACACTCAAATTATTAAGCTTTTTGTTGATCTTATTCTTTTCACTCGTTACCTGCGTTGTTTTGATAAGCACTTTAGGGTCTAATTTCTATTAGGTGGTATTTGCTGATTCACCCATACTTGAATATGCTCCGTTATTTGGCTAGTCTACCTTATTCCTGAGAGTAGATACCATTGAGCCAAAGAGTCTTTATTTCATCTTGGGGTGATGCTTCTTGTTGTTGATATTTTAACCTACCTTAGAAGCAAATGGGAATTATCTTACTATGTGTGGCTATGGTACCTCAGGCTATGTGATGAGTTTATTAGACTTGATATATTAAGCCAATCTGTTTGAAGTTGAACACTACTCCTCTTATTTCTCTTATAGATGCAGATACTTCTGAACTACTTTAGCAGGATTGCGCTTTTTATCTTATTTATTACATCCATTCCAAAACACATCAGAGACATCATAGAACTTCTAATCCTTACATATCTATTGAATCCTTTATTCATTTTTCTAAGGAATGCTATGCTTTTCAATCTCATCCATCTACTGTCTTTTGGCCTGCACTTTCAATATGTGTGCTTAAAATTCTCTAAATGCTGCTTCAGGGTCTTAGAATATATCTTCGTTTTTTAAGAGCTTCTTTACCATTTGCGATAGTGAGTACTTTGGATCTAGTTTTTAAAGTTCAAGGCACATCAATCTTTGTCCAACTTCCTTTAAGTTTTCATCACTCAAATATACCTAATACTTGGGCAGTGAATGATTTAATGCAAGAATAACAAATCTTTTTAACTTTTCAATAGCTTCTTATTCATCTGAGGAATATAACATACTTCTTTACAGCTATGTCAGCTAATGCAAACTTTTCTTAAATCTTTTGGCTTCTGATGCATTATTGAAGTGCTTATATGCGGTAGTCTGACCAGGATTGATCTCTGTCTAGGCAATCTTATGAAGTTTCCATAATACCACAAACAAATGATCCTTTCTAGTGTTTTTCATTAGAGTTTTGTTAAGTTCTTAAGAGTTAAAATGAGAATGCTCAGGGTCAGAGTAGTATCTATCATGATCATATCCCCTAGATATAGACTCAGATTGCAGAGACTATCTACCACCCGAGCTCAAACCACTGACATTGTTCCTAAAATCTTTTTTATTCCTTTCAATACTTTGTGATAAAATGCGTCTCGCCTTTAAAGTTGGACTCTTATTTTTATGCGGAAGATCTTACTCTGAGAGCAATCTTTGATTATACAATCTATCTTTGATCCTCAAGTCGTTCTTGTATAGCTTGCCACTATTATTCAAGATTGTATTCTTACTATTGGTATAGTTATCATGCAATATAGTGTGCGAAAGTTGATCTGCATTGTTGTTGAAGGAAAATTTACTATTCATATGCTGCTTGTTATTTCTTTCTCCCTAATTATTAAGATTATTTTCTAGAGTCAGATTATGAAGCGACTGGCTTGGCGATAAGTTCTAATTGGTATTCATTTTGCTCTGATCTTGAGTCTTGCTATCCTAAGTGAGGTTTTGGTTTGTTTAAAGAATCTGATACTGGGGTTGATAGTCATAGACCCCGTAAACGTTATCATTCATAATTTTATTCAATTAGTTGTTATATTCTTAAGATAGGTACTGCTGTTCCACTAAATGTTGTTAATGTTTAAATTAGGCGACTCTTTAATGTCTACTGGATTTATATTTCTTAAGATTGTTTGAATCCTATGTTGATACCATACTCTCTCTGCTCTTAATGCAAGATTTTGGCCTGATAATTTTGTTTGATTTATTCATCTTATCATCCTCTATGATCATTGATATAACTTTCTTGAAGTCTTATTGGTTATACAAGTCCAAATTGCTTTACAATCCCCCTAAAAGAGATGATTGTTGTTAATTTTGATAAGATAATCTGTAATAGTTATTATTGCTATCAGCATTTTTGCTTATTTGACTCACATTGCTCTTAGTATTCTAATGATTAATCACTCTGTTCTTAGCCTAGCTTCCTCTTTAGCTTCCCAAAAGTCTTTTGGTATCATGAGTAGTTGCTCCAGACTAGGATATATTTAAGAAGTTCAAGTGTTTGGAAGCTTCCTAATCTTGATTGTGATAACCTAACTCCAAATTATGCGGTAAATTAGAGTTGTTTCTTTTCGGAATGTAGGCACTGTTCAGTCTCCTATCTGAAAAGCCAATTAATATAAAATTATTTTACTTTATTTTGTTATTTTAGTTACATATGAGGAGTTAGGTCTTATTTAACTAGATGTATAGGAATATTGTTAAACTTGATCTTTATTTTAGCTCATTGGGTATTCTGATAACAATTTGATATATTATAATTAATTTTATTTCTCAATCCCACATTATAAGTCACCATGGGGTTTTGGGGTTTTGGGGTTTTGGGG